CAGATGTTCTGTTGGAGAAGGAGGGACAATCTCCTCCTGTACCAGTCAGATCCGATTTGATGGTACACACACATACACACACACAGAAAAATAAAATAAAATAAAAGTAAATGCTAAAAGAAAAAAAAATGGGTGATAACATTGACTAGACGGAAGGGGAAATCTTTGGTGGATAGAACTTGATCCTGGTTTTGAGAGCTAGGGAGTCAGGGTAGGTGGCTTTAGAAGGTGAAAGGACATGGCATGAAGACAGAGGGGAACTTGTAGGGAGAGGGGGTCATGAAGAGACACATGTGACTGGGTCCCCATAAGGGACCTGCTCTCCTTTCTGAGGATGATGTTGGGGGGATAGAAGCCTAACCCCAAGTCTGTGGAGCCTCGTGAAGCCCAGTCTCGTGGGTACTAAAGTAGGTTCAGGTTAGGCATGGCTCGGTTCCGGACAGGGGAGGGGGTTGTTGTGAGGTGCTGGTGAATCAGCTTTGACTCACACATAGCCCCTCGCCTGGTCCTCCTACACCATCCTCCCAATCTTTGCTCTGTTTTAATCTGTTGTTGCAGTTACTGCTTTTACATGTCTCCTTAAGGTAAGGCCCCTCCTTACCTCCCCACCCCCCCACTGGCCCTCTGGCTTTACCAAGCACGATATATCCCTTTCTAAGGACTGGCCTCTTCTTGTGACATGTCCAAAGTCTAGGAAATAATTACAAAGTCTTGCAATTCTGGCTTCTAAGGATCACTTCTCCCTTAGATAGATTGGTTTCTTCTTCTGGTAGTCTATGGTATAGTCAGTATTTGCCAACAGTACAAGGTCAGTCTTCCTTATTTATTGTCAAGCTTTGACATCCATCTAAGACAACTGAAAATACCATGGCGAGGGTACACCTCAGCCCTCAGAGTGACGTCTTTGTTTTGGGGAGTATTGCTGAGGTATAGAGCTAAAGTTAGCCGATCATAAAAAATTCTGTTATATCCTTTCCAGCCTTGTTTTTATCACCAAGATCATATTTTCCAACCACTAGCCCTTTCTTCCACCTCTAACTTTCGCATTCTGATCATCAGTTATTATAAAATGCATTTCAGTTATTTTAATGTTTGGTCAATCTCAAGTTACAGAAGGTGGTTGCGATGGTTCTTGTTAGGTGTTGTTGAGACGAAAATGATTCAGTCCTCAATTTCTTCATCTTTGGTATTAGTGGTTGTACAAATAATTCTTTGGAATTATTCAAAGCTGGTTCCTATGAGGTGGAAGTAAGTTAGAGATGTGTTAAATATCCAACTTTTTTAAAGTGCTGTAGCACATCAACTGTTCCTCCTGCCCTGAGTCCTCTCTCTCCTGTCTATATCTTTGGGTTCTGTAATTCACTGCAGCTTCTCATAGAAACTCAAAAACCTCAGAGAGAGAGTTCATGTGGTATCCTTTCACTAGACTTAATGCAACCTGTTGTTGTTGTTGTTATGTGCCATCAAGTCGCCTGCTGCATCTATGTATAACAAACAACTTTCCGAACCCTGCCCTATCCTGAGCCAGTCTCACTGACTCCAACACCCCTAATCACATTGCCCCGGGTATTGTATTAATCTATCTCAGCTGGGGCCTTCCTCTCTGTGCTGTCCCTCCACTCTTCTAAGCATGATGTCTTCTCCAAGGACTGGTCCCTCCTGGCCACATGCCCAAATTTTGTGAGACGGAGCTTCAAAATCCTTGCCTCTAAGGAGAAACTTGGTTTTACCCTCTCTAAGACAGACCTATTTGTTCTCCTGGAGGTTCGTGGTATGTTCAAGACTCTTCTCCAGCACCACAACTCAAAGGCATCAATTCTTCTTCTACTGTCTTTAGTCATTGTCCAGCTCTCTGATGCATAGCAAGTAATGGCAAAGACCATGGCCTGGATCAGACACACTTTAGTCTCTAGACTGAAATCTAGACGGAATTGCTCCTCAGCACCGTGGAGAGGTCCCTGACAGCAGACTTTCCTAGTGTAATTTGTCTTTTGGTTTCCTAACTGTTGGTGCCAAGAGTGTTGATTGTGGAGCTGAGCAAGCTGAAACTGTTAACAATTCAATCTGTATGCTGAGCAAATACTCCAAGAAGCTGGAGTCTATGAAGAACATGGTTTTGAGGTTGGAAGGAAAGTCACCTGCATTATGCAGATGACATCTTAAGATAGAAGAAAAGATAGAAGACTTGAAACACTAACTGATAAAGCTCAGAATTATGTAGTCTTCAGTACAGAGTACACTTCCACATAATGAAAACAAAAATCTTCACAACTGAACAAATAAACAACATCATGATAAATAGAGAACAGATTGAAGTTGTCAAGGATTTCATTCCATTTGGAGCCACAAAGTCCATGAATGAAGCAGCAGTCAAAGAAAAAAAAATCAAATGAAGTATTGCTTGGGCAAATCAGTTACAAAGAACCTCTTTGAAGTATAACAGAGCAAGGATGTCACTTTGAGGACTAAGGTGCATCTGCCCTAAGCCATGCCATTCTCAGTGGCTTTAAATGCATGTGGGAATTGGACAATGACTGGGGAAGCCTGAAGAAGGGTTGGTGCCTTTGAACTGTGGTGTTGGTAAAGAATAAACAAACCTGTCTTGGAAGAGGTGATGTCAGATTGCTCCTTAGAAGGAAGATGGCAAGGCTTTCTCTTACAAGCTTTGGGCATGTTATCAGGAGGAACTAGTCCCTGGAGAAAGACATCACACTTGAAAAAGTAGAGAATCAGTGAAAACCAAGACCCACAAGGAGATGGGTTGACACAGTGGCTACCACATAGCAGGTGGCTTAATCCTGGCAATGACCTTGAGGATGGTACAGGGCTGGGCAAGATTTCATTCTGCTGTGCTTAGTCTTGCAGAGTCCCCAGCACAACAAAGGATCGTGTTAGCCTTAGGGTTAGAATTGGGTTTTGAGTTAGGATTAAGCTTGGGGATAGAGTTAGGCTTAAGTTTTAAGGTTTGGGTTAGAGTTGACCAGCAAGTCAGGGTTCCTGGGCCTTTGGGTATATATATTTCATAAAGATCCTTTTTGCTGAAGGGTTCTATGAACCTGCAGGATTTTTATTTCCTTGGCTGCATAAAACATGAAAAGGAAAGGCAAGAGCTGCTTTTGAAAGATCATATTTATTTACTTTTTTATACTTATTTATACATAAAAAGTGAACAAGCATATAATTGAAACATGATTTCAATAATATATTTGACCCCACAGTTCAGTATCCCTATGGAACTGTGTGTGGCTGTCACTGTCCAGTGCATAAGGAAAAGAACAAAATAATTTAAAACCAAGCAGTTTTCACTGAAGACCACGGTGGGATGATTGAGTTGCTAACACACTACATTCATTTCACATCCATGTGCAATTCTTCAATAAATTGATCTTTATGTCATACCCTCTGGCTAATAGTTTTTCCAAATGATCATCCAGCTGGGGTAAGTTGAGCCCCAAGCTGTCTGTCTCATTTTCTCTCCCCCCCTCACGTGTCCACTGCTCACACCACAGCAGCCGGAAATGACACATTGAAGTGAGTCACCAATGCGGCTGGCTGTGTGAGTCACCCTGTAATTGGGGAAAGTTCTGTCCTGGTAGGTCATGCAGCCCCTGTGCACTTCTGTGCCCAAGTATATTGGAAAATTTTGACACCACATTGTTCTCTCTGTAGTGTCTCTCTCACCGTGCCCACCCTTTTTTATTCAAGTGCACTGAAGTTAGATGATCTTAGCAGGGACTCTCTCCATCAAAGCAGAAAGGCAAGGAAATGAGCCGAGCTGGGAGGGGTTCCGGCAGCCACATGGTGGCAGTGTGGGCCCCGTCATCACACCTGCCTCCTGAGAGGGTGTGATGGATGGTTAGGCGATCAGGGGATGGCAGGTAAGGCCCAGGCCCTGGGCTCCACTTGAGCAATTGCTGCTCTTCCTGATGCTTCCGGGGCCAGCAGTGAGAAGTCACGCAGCAATTTCAGCTAATTGCCATCGGCGCTGTTTTCCGTAGACACGACTCTGAACCTGAGACTCAATGACAGCTCACGCTGCTCACAGACCACAGAGGAACACGACAAGCACGTTGAAGCACGACACTTTTCTCTTGACAGCTCACTCTCTCTCCAGGCACACAGGGAACGGGCATGATAAATATTCAAGGGCACTTGCTGGCATCCCACCTGCCCTACCAGTGGGCGAAGAGCCAACACACATCTAAACTGTCATCCACCGCTCCCGCAAAACAAGCGTGTGGGCAGCAAAAAGCTGCTTCAGTGAGTAAACAAGTCCCTACACTCTGGAAGGTGCACACTGCTGCCGAGGAGGTTAGATGAGATGGGCAGACCAGGTGGGCATCAGCACTCCGGAGGCAGCTAGTTAGGTGGCTGGTGCCCAGCAGCTCCAACGCTGGGAGGTCAGCAACGGAATGGACCTTGAGATGAAAGGGTGTTGCCCTGCTGGCCTTTGTTGGCCTGATGCCAACCTCCTCAGCAGTGGCAGACAGTGCAAGAGTTCCTGCGACGTGACTAGAACATCAACAAGTTTCTACAAGCACATGAAAGCTCCTGTGAGCCTGTGGTCGCTTCTGGCCAGGGTCACCGCGGGAACTGGGTCTGAAGACCTGAGAAGTCAGGAAGGTGGACAGAGCCGCCGCTGAGAAGTCAGGAGGGTGGACAGAGGCGCCGCACCCGCGATCCTGTGAGTGCTGGAGGCCATTTGGGGGGGCCCTCCAAGGAGCTGTGCTTCCAAGTACTCCTCCAGGTCTCCACAGGGGAGTTCTGCCCTCTATCCCTCATCCCACACTTAGGGAAGGGGCCTCTGCTGGGAGAGGCTCAGGTCAGGGAGGCAGATTCGACTTAAAAAAAAAAGAGTTCTTTAAAGAAAAATGTCTTTTCTTTCACCAGAAAGAGTAAGTAAAACAAAAATTGTTTTTCTTTTCTTTTTTTTTTCCCTTCAGAGTTTCTTCTTTTCTGGTATGTCTCCAGTTCTGTCCCAGATAAAGGCTTCTTCATGGTCAGGGTTCCATCACCTGCCCTATGAATAGGATTACTCCTGTGGAGGGAAAAGCAGTCGTGGGGTTTAGATGGGAAGAAGCTGTGCATCTCCCACCGAGACCCCAGGAGGACAAGGGAGCTGATGTCACAGCTGCTTTACTAAGATCAGACCGGCTCCTCCCTCACTTCCCAGCATCGGCTACAAGAACGGATAACTGAGGGATGTTGGGCATCCTTGGCCGACAGTCCTCCAGGGACCACAGCGGGTGTCTACGTCTGTCTGGGTTGGTGCCCAAGATGAGGAGGAGGGGAGGAAGACTTGGGGTGTGTGGGCTCACCTGTGGGGTTGTGATACAGCACAAAGAGGAAGGGCCTGTCCATGATGATTTCTTCAGGGGCCATTCTGGCTGAGACCACAAAGGCTGGAAGAGAGGACAGGATGTCAGAACAGAATGCCGTTGGCCCGGGTGCCTCTGGGGAGGATTGGTGAGCAAGTGTCAGGAAATCAGATGGAAGCTGTTTCCTTCAGTTGAGACTTCTAGCAGGTATCCAACCACAGACATTATTTCTATAAACCTCTCTGAGGTTTCTTGATAAGCAGATTCCTTAAGTTCACTGCCTATTGTAGAAACAAATCAGGCCTTTGACATTCAGGGGACCTGGGAAAGCCACCAGAGGAAAGAACAGAGTCCCCCGGGGGACCTTTTCGTAGGCCAAGAACCTCTAGTGAGCGAAGAAAAAATGGCCCTGGTGGAAGAGGGCTGCGGTCTGCCTCCACTTGGGTTCAGGGACTGGTCATCCTGAAAGCTGGGACCTCACTGAGGCCAGACCCACCTGTGGATGAGGACGCCACTGTGCCGCTCTCATGCACCTCGATCTTCGCCTTCTGCAGGGCCTGTGATACGCAGAGCTGCTCTTGATCTGAAACAGAGGGGCACAGTGCTCAGAGCACAGCTCCTTTGTCCTCTTGGTGGCCCTGCCACAGTCCTCTGAGAGGTGGATAAAGTAAAAGGAAAAACCTCTTACCTGAAAGACCAGTGAAGTCGGCCCGGTCTGACCTGAACATGTCGGTCATCCCCAAGTTCTCCAAGGGCTTCCTGAGGTCAACTTCACTCTCCAGGGAGAATCTGCAGGGCAGGAGCAGGAAGCAGTTCAAGCTCAGTCACTTCTGGCTGGAGGTGCCCGGCCCTCCCAGGCAGAGCTGCCCGAGCCCCGACCAGCCCTCCCACTGGCAGACAGACATGGTGTAGAAGGAGAAGAAGCAGGAGGAAGAGGAGGGTATGGTGAGGAAGAAGAAGGAGACTTCTTATGAATCCATTGCCATATCTCCTGCCACTGGAGGCTTTTCATCTTAATGAGCATGCCCTTGCTATATCCTCCATGCCCTCAAATCGATGACTAATTACTTTCCTCAAATAAAGCAGTAGTTTCAGCATCATTTCTATTCATTCTGGCAGGGGGGCCAAAGGCAGTTCTGGAGAGATATTTAAACAAGACTGTGGTCTGTAGATTTTTGCTGCTGAAAGCCAACCCTGAAGAGGACTCAAGCAGCGATGTTCGGGGGCACTCTCACTTCCCACCAGGCGATGACTAATTGCCTCTATTTTTATTAGAGAGAGGTTGAGGGGTGGGGGGATAGACCTAACCAACTAAACATCCTTCTTGCTCGAAGCTTGGCATTACAAGCATCTAGAAACCCAGGGGAGGCAGAGTGAGAGATTTCCCAGCTTCAGCCTTTCCCACACTTTTGCTCCTGCAGGAAGATTTAAGTCTGTTTTGTGGTTATTGAAATGCCAACTAAAAGCTACAGCACGAGTCATATATCTGCAGACGTGATTTCTTTAGTTTTCAGGCACTGGGTGTTGACTTGAGAAGCCAGGGTGGGGTAAGAGGTTAGAGGAGCAGGGAGTGAGGGAGTGAGGCACATCTAAAAACAGCTTAGATGGATTGATCTCCTCCACCTTCCCCCTTTTGCTGGTTCCTCTTTAGACTGGCCTTTCCTGGGTGGTACAAGTGGGGGAACCGCCGAGGAAAGAGCCCCCTGCCCGTTAGGGAAGCAGAGGGAAGGGCCCTTGAGAGGCATCTTAATCAAAGCCAGGCTAGACAATTTCCCATCATCCTCCCACACATATCCCTATCCTGCGGGCGGACGCCAGGGATCTGGGGATTCTCACATGGGGTAGTGCTTTCAGGAGCCAGGAGAGAGGAGAGGGAGGAAGTAAGAAGAGATTTAAGGCCTGGACGCGTGGTGGAAGCAGGTGCTGGCTTACTTGGGCAGAACTAGGAGGCGGGGTACTCGGGTCATATTTCCTTTCCACTGGCTGATGAGCTGGGCATCCAGGCTACTGGTGAGGGCCGAGAGAGGCACCTCTTTTTCATATGGAGCGGCGATGAACATGCTGACAGTGTGTCCGTGGTAGGGCAGTTCCAGGATGTCATAGTAATGGCCGTCAGGGGTCAAAAACTCAGCTGTGAAGACAAAGACAGTTCTCCTGTCCTCTCTCCTTTTTCTAGAAGCAAAGCTTCTCCACCCCAGCTTCCGGGGGCAGGGGGGGCTACGTCCACTCCTCTCCTCTCAGTCTGTTTCTTTCCATTTCCCTTCTCTCTTTTGCCAATTCTCAGGGGCTTCCAGTGGTTTTTCTGCGTCTCCTTTTGGTCTTTTTAAAACCAGCATTCTCCTCCCCCACACCAGACAGGAATATCTTTCAATTCGGATGCTTTTAACCTCAGCTTCCTCATAACCTCTCCCCTCAGCAGGATTTCTTGGTCTCAGGTTATCACACTAGGATCGTATTAGGATGATGCATGAGGTCAAGTGGTTCAGTGAGGGCCTGAGGAAATGTCTAGATTTCACCTTCAGCTTCCATAAGATAAAGCTCTGACTATCCCTGTGTCTCCCACTTGGGACATCATTGTCAGAGCTGAGGTGGATTCTAGAGGGGGGGAACATTCCAAGAAATTTTCCTCCCTCAGGGGGCAACATTTGGGATACCCGCCAGGAGACTTTGTGCATGAGATGCGGGACTGGGGCATGAAGGGAGGGTCTTGTACTCACTGTAGTTGAACTTGTTGGTCTGAGCCATCATGGACACAGAGACAGTGCTGCCATCAGACTTGTGGAAGAGGCGGCGGTGGGTGGCCGAGGTTGGGAAGGGCATCTGCCACTGGCCGTGAAAGTAGAGGGCATTCACCAGCACCAGGCGTGTCTGCTCGTCCACCATCCCCTTGCTAAGTAAGTCACTGATCATACCTGTGGGAAAGCCGGGCGATCAATGGCTTGTTGGTGGTGTTGACAGAGAAGAACTTTCATATAGACTTTCCTGGGCTGGAACCTTCAGGGGAACAGGTTGCCCTGTCCTTGCCCCTACAGATCCAGTAGGTAGATTCAAACCACTGACCTTTGGGTTAGGGGCTGAATGCTTAACCATTGTGCTACCAGGGCTCCTTGATAAGGAGCCTTAATACTTTTCATCCTTAGATGTTGTTGTTAGGTGCCTTCGAGCATGACTCATAGCAACCCTATGAACAACAAATCTGAATCCTGTCCTATCCTGTGCCATCCTCATCAAATCTGACACCGTGGTTCCCTTCAACTCCCATACTCAAATGGATCATGCTGGAGGGCAGTCCAGGAAGAGGGGCTGACAGGGAATTTAAAGATATCAACCCAGCTGCCTCATCTCCCCCCATCCTGAGTCTCAGAAAGTCTCCCCACATTCTTGGCTCTGGGGACCTACCCTGGGCCAGGTTCTGAAATGTAAATCTTCTTTTATTTCACCCCTCAGTTTGCCCTTTCAGCTGCAACCTTGTTTATTGGGGCTGTTCTTATAAAATCCCACAACACTGTTTAGAGAGGTCCTGGGGGTTGGCTCACAGGAACACCTAGTTGATATCAGCTAGTATGTTTCCATTCTTGAACTATTTGATGGTCAGTCCACAGGGGAGAGAGTGCTGACAGGGAAAAGGGAGGCCTCTTGGATTTGTTTCCAAACCCCCTCTTCTCTGCAGCCTCTTGACTCACCTCTCGTGTGTCTCTTCACGTAGTCGTTGATGATGAATCTCGCTCTCTCTGCTTCAGTAAAGTTCACTTGCTTGACTGTGCTATGGAACAGCCTGAAGAAGCGAGGCATGAAGCCCTGAACCAGCTCCAGGTCCCGCTGGACGAAGATGGCATCGACCGTTTTGACCATGTCCTTGTTCCAAGGCGCCATGAGTTCCTTGTGCACGTGGCGGAGGGTGGAGGCGACGTCCTTGTCTGTGCAGAGGGGAAAGGGCACGTTAGCTTCCTGGGGAGCTGAGGAGAGCTGGCTTTCCCAGGAGAGGTCCCAGCTCGATCCAGGACTGGGGACTCTCCTTCTTTCCAGACCTTTCTCTCTTCTGCATCTTTCTCCTTTCCTCAAAAATATTGGGTTCTAGTCTTTCCTTTGCATTAGAAATTTTTTATCTCTTCTTATGAACCCCCAATTTTCTTCTTTTAAGAATAACAGTTATGCTAAGTCTTTTATAGACATCATTCTGTTTACTTCTTATAAAGCCTTATTTTATGGGTAAGTAAACACAGGTATAGAGTGCTTCCGTATCTTGTCAAAGATCACATGATTAATGAGTGGTGGGGCAAGGCTATTTTTATATTGATTCCACTGACAGGAAAGGTCAAAGGCTAAGTGGTGCCAGGTGTGGTCAGAGGAAGAGCTAGAGGTTACTGTTTCATTGTTGTTGTTGTGTACCATCAGTCAGAACTGACCCATAGCTGACCCTCCAGGGGGTTTTCCGAGGCTTAAATTGCATGGGAGGAGATTGCCCATCCTTCTCCCACAGAATATTCAAACTACATGCCTTCAGGATTGCAAAACAGATTCTTACCACTAGGTGACCAGAGTTCCCACTGTATCAGAGTGGTGTGTAAATTAGCTTGGCCAAGCTGAAGACAGCCTTGTCTCAGGTGGGTGAAAGCCTATGGCCCCCGACTTGCTGGACCCCTGCCCTCCTCTTGGTGCCCACAGCACACGTCTCTCACCGTCAGTTTTGAATTTCATCGCTGCCTGGAGCTGCTGCCGCGTGTCCCCTCCTGTGGTCAGCTGCAGCATGGCCAGGACGGAGGCCACCCCATAGGGTGAGAAAACCACATTGCGGTCCTTAGAGGCCTGGACCACCTGCTGAAACACCTTCACACCAAACTCTGTGGCCAGGTGGCCTGCCTGGGACTCAGATAAGGCAGATCCTTCGCCGAAGATGAGGGTCAGGCCCAGGGCGAGGCAGACGATGACTGGAGACATCTTCGTCCTAGAACAAGTGGGAAAAGATCTGATGAGTGAATAATTCTGGAAGACAGGAGACTGGGGAAGGGAGATGGCACCCCAGCCATACACCTGGGCTCATTTTGCTTGCTGATGAATTTGAGAGCAAAAGTTCTTAAGAAAGCACGCTAAGAATATAGTTATGATAATGGCTTAGCTATAACTCAACACCTTGAGAGGCTGAATCAATGCATTGGGGAACTGAGGACCACAGTCATGGGGAACCTCAAGGTCAGCAGGCATAACAGAACAATATTCTACATCACACTTTAGTGAGTAGCAACTGGTGATTGGCTATCAGGGCTTGTGATTGGCCATCAAAAGTGCAACTATTGATCTGTCCCCATCAGGAGCAGATAAGGGTGAAGCAAGTCAAAGGCTGCTAGTCCCAAGGACCACGTGATTGCATCAGTCTTCACAACCCTGAAACCAGAAGAACTAGATGGTACCCAGCTCTGCTGACAGCGCCGAAAGGATCGGACTGAGAGAGTGGAAGAAAAAAATGAGGAGCAACAGTCAAAATTATTAAAAAGTACCAAGTTTACAGGCCTGATAGAAACTGGTGGAGTCCTTAGTTACCCTTTCCACCTGGGACTGAATCACTCCATGACTCTCAGTCAAACAATATAGGCGGGCCGATAGGGTAGTCAGAACATCAGGGGAAGATGTGCCCCTTAGACCCATCAGTCATACAAGAACAAAAGGGCGGCATTTTCTTATGCTGGAGCTCAATCATCAAGAAAGGGTAGGAGAGAAGGACGAAAGGAAACAGGAAACAGGGAGGAAGTGGGAAGAGTGATGTGACATAGTAGGAACTGTAATTAATGTCACATCTAAACATGTGTACAGATTGTTGAATGAGGAACCAGTGGCGTTTTCACTCAAATCACAGCAAGATGAAAACCCTCGAGGACGGATATTCTAGGCCTGTCCACTCTGTCTCAGGCTGATTTTTATCACTGGTTAGGCCTCGGGAGCTTTACACTCATCCTTAAGTGTTCTTAATTCTTCGCCTGTGAGATTCTCAGGACTCAGCCGCTCCCCCTCCCTCCCATTCCCAGTATATCTCCTTTTCCTTTCAGGCCTCAAAGGATAAATTATAAAAACACCTTAATTTGCATGATGCTTTTCAGTTCTTATAATACGTTTATAACTATTCCTGTAAAATGCTTTTAAAATGAGAACAAGTTGTTCTTGCTGGCTGCTGCTGAGTTCAATCGTGGTGTCATAGCAACATATAAACCTCCATTGAGAGGGGTAGTGACTGCAAGGGCTTTGGCTGAGAGTCCAGCCCAGGCCTCCCACTGGAAGGTGAGAATTCTAATGTTCTCCAAGTTTACTGCTGTCAAGTCAGAACTTATCCCTAGCTGACCCTCCACTGGATTTCCAAGGCTGTAAAATCACACAAATTTGTCCATCTTCCTCCCAACTAGTGGGTTCGAACTACTAGAGAGGTAGCTTGACTCTAACATGCTGTCAAATCAAACTGATTTACAGCTGACCCTCCAGCAGGTTTTCAGAGGCTGTAAATTGCACAGGAAGAGATTGCCCTTCCTTCTCCCAAGGAGCAGCTGGGAGATTCGAACCATCTGCCTTCAGGTTGTCAGTGCAACTTCTTACCCACTAGGCCACCAGCACTCCTCCTTCTTTCAAGCTGGAAGGTATGAAACCCCTGTTTTAAGGTGGGAAAGGAGAGTGTCATGAGACACAGAGTTGAGGTTATTGATTCTGGAGGACAGAGTTGTTGGTGAGCCCAAATCACCGTCCCCACTCCCCTAAACTCACTGCCAAGGAAGGTCAACTCAAGACCACACATCTTTGGGGACCCTCAGATAAAAAGGAGCAAAGACCCTAGAGAGAGAAGCGCTCTGCGTAAGTCCGAGATGGGAGATGGAAGCAGTTCGCTCTTCTCTTACCTGAAGCGCCTGTGACTGTCGGTTTGTCCAGCTGCCGTTGTCCTGAGCTGCTCCTGCTGGGGATGTGGCTACTGGCGTGAGCGTGTCTCCTTGGGCAGCCTCTGGTGGCCGAGCCAGACACAGCTGCTGTTCAGACCCTGCCTCCCTTTATACCAGATGGAGGCAGGAAGTGGACTAACTCACATCTCGGCCACACCCCTTTCTGGCTCCGAAAGTCTGTCTGCACAGCTGGCTGCCCCCCCCCACGCCCCACGCCCCACGCCCTCTCTAGGACTTGCTGAGACACGTGTGTGTGTGTGTGTGTGTGTGTGTGTGTGTGTGTGTGTGTACGTGTGTGAGAAGGCTTGGGGAAATTGAGCAAACCCTGATTGTCCTGGTCAAAGGGCTTCCCTTGGGCTTGCTGCCTTCTACTTTTTTTGTTCCTCTCTTTTCTGACATTTTGCCAACTTGACCCTAGCAGTGCCAAGTGACAAGAAAAAGCCAGTATTTGGGTTATCTTGCCCAGTGCTCAGCTCGGACAAAAAAGCACTTCGGTTTGTCCTCTTTTTCTCTCTCGGAGAAGTAGGGAACATTGAGTTGTCAGAAAAGCTGTTTCTGTAGACTTTTCCTCTCCTGCCTTGTGAGGACAGTGAATCATCTGGCAAGGTTTCCACATGTTGTACTGAAATCCACTCCGCAGCCCCCAACAGCAACCTTCCTCTCCTGTCCGAGCTAGCCTCTGGGAGAGAGTGGCTCTCCCTCTTCTGGGCTCATCCCTGTGGCCAGAAGGCCCTGGGAATGTCTGGATGATGCCAGTCTGCATTGTGAGGACTCCCTGTCTCCCCTCGCCTGCCGGTCTGCCTGGTGCAGCCTCGATGATCCAGGGCTGACTCCCGCACGTGTCCAGACTCCTGTGGTACCTGACAGCTCTTGTTTGCGGCAACAGCCCTGTCTGGGTGCACTGGGTGGGGTGGTGGAAGCTGCCAGAGACCAGGTGTTATCAGGCTAGAAAACCTTGGCAAGGAATTGGAAAGCCAGCGTGAAGGCTTTGTTTCTTGGACTGCCTTCCCTGGCTGGGTAGAGGCCGTGTTATCCTTTTCCTGCAGCTACTGACACTGGGAGGCTGGGAGCAGGGAAGGAAGGGAAGGGCCAGTGAGTGGCGGGTTTGTGGTATGCTTGGAGGGGTTTCAGGGTGCAGAGCAGACAGCGTCTTCTGTAGACGGTGGAAATGGACCAGTGGTGTGAATATTTAGAGGTTTGGCTAGGTCAGGTCCCCTTCACTGTGTGGCACCCATGGTTTATGTAGAGAAGGGTGGCTTGGGGTGCCAGAGGGTGTTTGGGGGGGGGAAATGGCACACATGGCCATAGGGTCCACATTCAGTCGTGTTTTGCTACATTGTGGAGTTCAAACAGAGGTATCCATAGAAACATCTGACAACAGCAGAGTCACAGGAAGTACAAGTGGGTGGAAGTAGCATCGGGGTATTTGTTTTGGATTTTTTCTTTTTTTTTTTTTTGGTAAACAGTTATCAAACACAACCACAGCTGAGCAGCTTTCCCGGTTTCCCTGTGCCTCAGCCTCTGTTTTCCCCTGTTGCCCCTGGGAGAGAGGTGGGCGGGGGGTGCCAGAGGGAAGGGGAAACCTCTTTTGGAAAGTCTGGATTGCACACATGTTACAAAGCTGTTCCTGTGAAATGGCAGCTTGTTTATGTCTCTTGCCTTTTCTTAGCTGTGGTCTGGTTTTCCTGAGAGAGTGGTTAACTAGGAGGTGGACGCTTGTTCCCCAGCCTCTGGGATGAAGCCAGAGCTCCAGCTCCTGCCTCCAGAAATGCCCCCAGGACTCTCCATCCTCAGGACTCTGCGGGAGACAGGGGACCTGGAAGTCTGGGCTGGAGGTGGCAATGTCTCTAGACACAGCTTCTGGGAGGTGCCCCAACTCCTGGTCACCCCACTCAATTCTTGAGTCCTGCTTTCTTCCTTGGTCTGTTATTCCAGGAGCCTGGTGTCCGCAGCTTACCAGGCTTCAGGTATAAAAGACCACTTGTTTTCTGTGAGTGGCCTGGGCCCTACCAGGAGGTAACAATTTCATCTTGCTCACAGGACTAGTGGTGGGCTTACAGCTGTCCTAATAAAAACACTCAACTGTTGGGGGCAGGGAGAGCCTGGGTGTAGATCCCTGCGTCCTTCGGGTTCAGGTGAGAGAGATCTTTCAATTCCAACAGTGAAACAAAGAGCTGGCTTACTAAGGGGTCATTGCCTGGCCTGTGGAAAAATGGCGTGTGTGTGCTAGAAGCCTCGTGTGACCACCTGACGGAAGTGCTTCTCTTTCCTTTGGCTTGGTCACCCTGGGCCACCTACTAATCCAGAATCAGACTTGACAGGGGTCTCTTTCTCTCCACAGGGGACAGCCGTGGCCCCTCCATGTTTTCCTGCTGCAGACAAGACCCTTTACACACTAGGGGTGACAAGAGGGTGCTTCCCCCACAGGCCCTTCTCAGAAGCTGGCCTAACTCAAAGGGTCATCACTCTCCCAGAATCCCAAATGAGTGCCTTGGTCAACCATCTCATTCAAAGCTTCAGCTATTTTGTAAAGGATCAAAGGGGCAGAAAGGGAAAAGTCCCTGCTGTTGAAATATCTGGCTCACTACTCCAGAGATAGCCGGGGTGTCCGAGATAAGGGGTGAGTGAGAGGGCTGTGGGTTTCTGGGGAAGTTCCATTTCCAGACAGCTGGGAAGGCTGTCCAGGAGCAGGTGTTTGGTGATGCGACCAGACTCATTCTTTCCATGGCGGCCCCCGCTCCTGCCCTTTGACCTCTCCAGGCCCTGGGTTCAATCTGGGCTTTTGGCTGGAGGACGTCAATCTCCCCTCCACCCATCACGTCCGTCTCATCCTGGGGTTGTCCTCCCTCCTGCCCTCTGCTCTTCCTCTTTCTCTTCTGCCTTTCCCAACACCCGAGCCCATCCTCTGTTCACTTTCTCTTTTCTTTCTGAGATCCCCATTCCTGGGAATCACCTTGGATGCTTCATTTATTTCCTGTTCTTTCCTCCTTTTTCCTCTCTGCTGCCTAGGAGATCTTCCCGCCT